GCTTGAGTGGTCGCAGGGTTTGCCGGCCAGCTCTGGAATCTCCGCTCACTTGAGCGGCAGTTAACTATTGTTTATGTTATTTTGTGTTTTGTGGCGAGAATAAAGGCCCTCCTTCCTCACTACTCTACATCTGAGTCCTCTCTCTATCCCATACCCTGACACTTGGCAGGTCTTCCAGCCAGTTCTATCAAACCTTTACCATTAATCCAGAACGCGGCAGCAAGATTAATTTTTTATGAGCCAAAAAGAATGCACGTAACACCTCTGTTTATCAATTTGCACTGGCTACCAGTAGCTGCTCGCATAAAATTCAAGGCATTAATGTTTGCCTACAAAACCACCACTGGCTCTGGGGGTCCAAAGTGATTTTTTTTTTAGCCCTTTTCCTCATTCTGGAGGTGTAAAGATCTTGGAGGTTGGACTGGGGGGAACCAATAATCTTCTCAGCAGTCCTGACTGTCCGTTGTAGTCTCTTGATGTCTGATTTGGTAGCTGAACCAAACCAGATAGTTATGGATGAACACAGGACAGACTCAATGATAGCAGAGTAGAACTGTTTCAGCAGCTCCTGTGGCAGGTTGCATCACTTGCAATCACTTGCACGGACTTATAAATTAAATGTTCCCTCCTGGTGGAATGACCTGCCCAACTTAATCTGAGCAGCTGAGTCCTTAGCCATCTGCAAGAATCGGCTAAAAACACATCTCTTTCATCTTTCTAACTCTAACTCTAACTCTAACTCTAACTCTAGCACCCTCTATTCTACTTCTATTTTTTTTTATAAACTAACACTAGCTTTTGTAATCTTTTTGTATTCTATCTATTTGTTTTCTTTTTATTTATTATACAATTATAAAAAGCAAAAAAGGCCTCTAATACTAGCTTGCTCTATTCTTTTTCTATTCTATCTGTTTTTTTTTAATTTATTAGGCCTATAAAAAAAGAAACCTTGCTACGTGTGCTGCATTAAGCTAACTGAGACTTGTTATAGCACTTGCATATCATTGCTCTTTTGTTGATTTTGATTGCTTCCATTGT